CAGGGATCCCCCAAATAAATAAAATCTTAAAAAAAAAAAATTCTTACTACTACCAAATGAGTTTTTACCCTTAAAAACCATACAATTTAATTTGGGAGGAAGTACCTGTGAGGAACTAGAAACAGGCCAAATTTATGAGTTACCAAGTTAGTGGCTTAGCCGTTAAGTATTTAAAGGGAAAAAAGAACACTGTCAAGACTCTATGAAGGCAGGATCTGAGCTGGTTCTTACACACAGGGAAGGATTCAAATGGGTAGAGAGTAGAGCATCCCAGGCTATGGAATCAACAAAGGTCAAATCTTGGAAACAAGGGAGTATCTGTGGAACTCTTTATCTACCAAGAGGCAGAAGATGAGTGTTGGCAGCAGTAGGGGGTAGTGATTCAATTATCAGTATCATTAATACCAACACTTACGGAGGACTTACCATGTGCCAGTCACTACACTAACTGGTTCACGTTATGATCTCATTTCATCCTTACTGCAATGCTATGAAATAGGCACTTTATATTCGCTGGTAAATGGGAGAACAGAGAATTGAAACCAGAGCTTAACTTTTCAACCAAAATCCTTCCCATGGGCTTTGGAGTCAGACAGACCCGAGTACAAATCTACGGATGTGTCCTCGATCAAGTTTTAATATCCCTGCACCATAATTTTCTCAAAAGTGGTAAAATACCAGTACTGCTCTCATGGAGTTGTTGCAAGGCCTAGGTGAAATTATGCATACAAAACACTTGACACATGGAAAAGCACTCAGCTACTGTTACTGTTAGATTTTTGAAAAGTAACTGCAAGTGCTTTCGAAAGTTTCTGACCAAGAGAATGAATGCCATGGTAAAATGATGTCTGGGGAAGATTAAGGTGATTACATTGAACTGGAGAGCTGGGGGCAGGGAGGGGACCAGATCAGCGGCAAAAACCCAGTGAAGAGACCCCCTAATAATTAAGGTCTAATACAGGGCAGCCCCGGTGGCAGTTTAGCGCTGCCTTCAGCCTAGGGCCTGCTCCTGGAGACCCAGGATCAAGTCCCATGTCAGGCTCCCTGCATGGAGCCTGCTTCTCCCTCTGCCCATGTCTCTGCCCCTCTCTCTATGTCTGTCGTGAATAAATAAAATCTTACATCTTTTTCTTTTTAATTTTATTTATTTATTGTGGGTACCACTGATGAAAATCTAAAAATCACAAGGAAGAGCTACTTTCGGTGCGGGGAATGCTCCGTAGCCTGGAAGACTTCACTACCAGGGAGAAAGTACCTTCTCTACCAAAGGGAGATGGAAATATACTGAATCTCTGGAAAGAGCTGAAGCCAAAAATATAAATCTGGTAGGGACCTCCAAGGGTTGACGAAGACCTACTCTTTTTCTGCTGGAACGTTCTTCTTTTCCTCCTCTACTTGACAAACACCTGCCCTATTATCAGTGTCACCGAGTTGCTCAAAGACACAAAAAGGGAAGGGCGAGGGCACAAACCTGCCTGGACAGAGCTCAAGAGCGCTTAGGAATCAGCGTGGGGCTCAGGAACTCACCGTTCCAAGGTGGAGGCTTCCAGTGGGCTGTTTCTTTGGTGGGGTACATGACAGCTCCCCCAAACTGCTCTGCCCATTCCACATCTGGCTGCCACTGCCGAGCACCTCTAGGGAGTCAAAGACAGATCCTAGAAACAGGGCCTCAACAGTGCTGGGCTCCTCCATCCCCAGGCAATGTCAGGTGAGCCCAGAGAAGGGAGCCTCGGATTCTCCAAGGCCAGGTTCACTGGCACACAGTGCAGCTTTGGGAGAACAAGCTGGAGCTCCAGAGCTTCCATTACTACTAACAACTTATTCCTGGAATCACTGCACCCGTCAGCGCTGTGCATGCAAGGCCGGGGCTCCCCCGAGCTCCCCCAAACACCTCGCATATGCACATTCCTATTCCCATCTCGGTGAACACGAATGCAAGCCAGGTGCCTGTTCAAGGTCAAGGGGAGACTAAGGTGTGCGGTGCCCGGGGGGAGGGGCTGCTGCCTCCTCGGGCTCGGCCCGGCCTGGGGGAGACCCGAGAGGAGTCCTGGGGACCGAGGGGGGATGAGCGCGGGTTTGTGTTCCTCCTTTAACTCCATCAGGCACGCTCCCCTCCTCTCGTCTACGGAGACTTTCCACCAGCCGCACGCCACCCACGATGAGGCTCGGGAGAAGCAGCAGGGCCACGGAGGGGACACGGCCACCCACTACCGTGCAGGGGCAGCGTCTCCCCCCGCTGGCGGCCCCCTCTGTCCTCCCTCGGCCGGGGCGGGCGCCGCTGCATCCTGGAGCGCGGGACGGCAGGCCCGGCCGAGGGGTCACAGGCCTGGGTCATCCTTCCCCGGGGGCGGGGGGGTGTCACCGGGCCCGCGGAGGCGCCGGGCACGACGAACCCCGGCGTCGGGGGCGACCCGAGGTCTCACCTGCTGGGCTGAAGCGGCAGCCGGCCGCCGGCCCCCGACCGCAGCGCCTGGGCCGCGGCGCCCCGGAGGCTGCGCAGAGCCCTCAGCGCCGCCATCTTGCCTCGCCGCGGACTGCGGGAAGGAGGACGGGCGGAAGTGCCTCCTGCGCGCCGCCTGGCGGCTTCCTGCCTATTCGGCACACGGGGCCGCCCTCTTGGAAGCTGGCAGGGTGGCCGCCGCGAGCCGGCACCGTGCGCGCTCTGCGCCTGCGCGCTCTCGCTTCTTCTTGCCGCTCGAGCCCGACCTGCCGGGGCCGGAGCGGGAGAGGCGTGCGGCTCGCGCCTCCGCTCGCCCCGGCGCTTCTCCGCCCGCCCGAGCCCCGCGCCCGGGGCCGCCCGCTCCCGGCGGCGGCGGCGGCGGCGGCGGCGGAGCCCGGCCCTCCCGGGGCAGCCCCAGGCTTTGCCAAATGCTTGGGAGCGGGGACCGCCAGCTAATTTCCAGATGGCCCCAGTGGGTTAGGGATGGGGGCCCAGGCGGCGCTGGGCGGGTCTGAGAGCTCCCGCCAAGCCCGAAGGCGAGAAGAGGAGGACGCCAAGGCCACCAGCACTGGAGCAGGCTGCCGGGTGGAGGAGCCACCTCAGCCCAGGCAGGAGGGGAGGGCCCCTCGGGGTGACCCCGAGCCCCGCCGGGCTTCCGGAAGCTGCAGGACGGTGGAGCCGGAGCCGGGAAGCGTCCCTGGAGATGCATCTTGCCCACTTCCGCCCTGGGTCACGCCCTCTTGCCCTCCGGTCCTTCTGACCCTGCCTTAGTCCTGGCCAGTGGCGACAGCTTAGGGAGGGCGGGCTGCCAGGAGTCCCATCCCAGTGCTGCGTGGAAGAGACCAAGAGTTGTGCAGCCTGGGAGGCCGGTCCCTGTCCCCTGCCCGTGCCTCCAAGCCCGGCTCCAGCTGGGCCACCCGTTGAGTTTGCACATGCCTCCCACTCTGAGCCTGGAAAGAGGCCTTCCCCAGATCTCCCCCCAGACAGGGTCCCCGAGACAGCCCACCAGCAGTGCAGCAGGGTGGGGCACACAGACCAGGGAAGTGGCGGAGACCGGGAATTCTTTGCCGTGGAGAAGGAGAAGGCCAGACTTCTAGCCTGAGAGTTGACCTAATGGGAAGGATCCCAAAGGGTGGGGCCTTATCCCTGGCTGTGGGAACTGACCGGGCCGCGGTGGACTGGGCAGCCTGCACAGCCCGGCAGAGGCTCTGCCTCCCTGCCTGCCTCCCTCTCCACTCTTCCCCTGGGGCTTCTCCCCCTCTGTAGTTGGAACACGGTGAATGGGAGGTGGGAGGTGGGGGGCTGCGTTCATTCGGTGGAATGAAGCCTGGGAGAAGTCAGGATGGAGTCTGCGCTGCTAGGCCCTGGAGGCAGCTTGAGCTGGGACCAGGGTGAGGGCTCCCCGGGGGGCTACCTAGGACACTGCATCTTTTGTGCCTTCTCCCTGCAGCCGACACCCCCACACACTGCTGCTGGGACTCTAAGGCCCTTTGTCTCTCACTGTTTAGTCACCCCCTTTGTCCTCATCTCAGATGGGGGGTTGGAAAGGCGCAGTAAGAGTCCTCTGGTGATAGCTCCTCTTGCCCCTGCCCCTTCTGGTCTCCTTTCCTTTGTCTGACTCCTGCAGCCCCAACCCCCTCCAGAGTTAGGACCAAAGTCAGGGCATGTGGTGGGTCAAGAGGTAGGTCTGGCCTTGGTGGGCGACTCAGGAAGTAGTGGGCACCAGGGCAGGTATTCACGACCTGAGCAGGAAGGGAGGGGGAAAGGAAGCAATGGGGCGGATATGATCTGGGACACAGGAGGTGACAAGGCAGAGAGTGGGTAGAGGAATGGGAGTAGGGGCAGGTGATCTGCCTCTGGGAAAGGAAGGGGACCGCTGACTGCATTCTCTTTCCTGGGGATATCCTGGGGAAAGGAGTGGCCCTCGCATAGAGTGTGCAGACCATTGCCCCTATTTCTGTACCCTTTACTTCCTTATCCTGAGAGTCCACCCCCAAAACCTCCTTGCTGACTCGTCTCCCATCCAGAAGATCCAGGACCAAACCGAGGGAATCATCTGGCTTCCTTCTTCTACCACTACCTCTCCCCCCCCCACCCAGGCACGCTCCCCAACCTCAGGCCCTGGGTTCCTGTCTCTCAGTGCTCTGATTTCCCCAGGTACACGATGCAGCCTTCACCTTCTCCATGTCCCAAGGGGAATGAGAAATAAAAGATTACTAGCTATTCCAGGAACCATTACGTTCTCAGGGCAAGGTGGGGCCAAAGAGCGAGTCAGGTGGGGATTCCCTAGGATGGATTCACTTTGGGTGCATCTGGGTTCCTAAGAGAGCAAGTCTTTCTGTGCTGGGGGCTGGCTGACTTGAGGCTGGGGGAGGGTTCAGGGCAGTTGGGAGTGGGTAGGAACAGGGCCAAGAGCCTGGGGGAAGCTACCGGGAGCAGGGCCAGGGAAATGGGGAGTCAGGAAGTGGGGAGGGGGAGCCCTGGGGGGGGAATGGAGGCGGCGGATTGGCTGTTCAGGGCTTTGGGGCTTTGGAGGGGGTGGGTAGTGGTAACTCAGGAACGGGGAGCCTGCAGGAGAGGGCTGTTAAAGAAAAAGAGGTGCCACCCTGGATCTTCCTTCTGTAAAAGGAAAAGTCCTTAACCCCTCCTGCCTTCTCCCCTGCCTGCTGCGTGTGCCTGCCCATTCTAAGCAGACTCATCCTACCTTTGGGCAGTAAGCCCTGTGATCCCTGTCTCCTCGCCTGCCCCATATCCCTGCAGCCTGCTCGCTCTCCCACCCACCCCTTGGTCCAGGTCCAGCCATCTCCTCTCTTTGTTCTGCCCTCTGGGTGCTTCCTTACCTGTTCCCCAGGGTCTTTCCCTGGCAGTTCACTCAGTTGCCTGGGCTCTAGAAACCAGCCTCTAGGGGCAGAGGGCAGCGCGAGGAAGCCCTGAGAAAAGGGTGGCCGTGCCAGGTTAGAGAATGAGAGCGAGAATTCTCCTGGGACCGCGGCCTTTCTGTGCGTGTTGACCAGGCCCTTTCCCTGACTTCCTACCCCTCCTGGGGCTCTGTCCCACCAAAAAGGGAAAGAGACAGCTGAGAGCCGACTGTGGGGTTTGGGGAAAGGCTATGTCATCAGCTGGCCCAGTGCCTATGATCCATCCGGCTGCTGGAGATTCTCCTCCCCTGGGCAAGTCCCATTATTTTTTTAAAGGAAAACAAAACTGGGATTTTTGGGAAGCAATGAGACACCATCTAAGTCCTACCAACAGAGCTCCTGGCTGAATGGCTTATAGCTCAGCCAATCGCAGAAGCTCGAGATGCTTAAAAGCGCTGGCGCGCGGAGAGAGGCTGGGAAGGACCCACGGGGAGACCCACAGACACATAGACACGGGCAAGAGAGGAGGAGAGAGACAGAGACAAAGGCACAGCGGACGAAGCCAGAGACAGGGCAGGCCCAGAGGAAGGCCAGAAAGTGTGAGGGGCACAGGGAGGCCCGAGGGGCTGCAGGAGGCACGGGCAGGGGGAGACAAAGACCCGGGAGAGGAGGGGGTGCGAGAGGAGTTTGGAGGAGCCAGGCCACCGGGCGCCTCTCCGCAGCCGAAGGGCCAGGTTCCCTCCATCTCCTCGGACGGTCCGGAGCCCTCCTGCAAACTCTGCCTCTGACCCTGGCACAAGTCCGAGCCCCCAGGCTGCGGAGAGGAGTTTTCCAAAGCCGGGGCGGGGAGAACTTGGTGCGCAGCCGGCCTCCATCCCTCCCGGGCCGCGGTGCCAGTGCCATGGCCCTGACGGACTGGTGGCCCCGGAGAGGCTTGGCGGGGTGCTGGCCGTGGGGCGCCGGGCCCCGCCTGCCATTGCCCACGCTGCCCATGGCCCGGCCGGCGGCGCGCCTGCTGCTGCCGCTGCTGCTGAGCGCCCTGCTGCCCTCGGGCCGCCCGGCCGGCCCCCTCCCCTGGGAGGAGGAGATCGTGTTTCCCGAGCGGCTCAACGGCAGCGTCCCGCCAGGGCTGGGCTCCCCCGCCCGGCTTCTGTGCCGCCTGCCCGCCTTCGGGGAGACGCTGCTGCTAGAGCTGGAGCAGGACCCCGGCGTGCGGGTCGAGGGGCTGACGGTGCAGTACCTGGGCCGCGCACCTGAGCTGCTGGGGGGCGCAGAGCCGGGCACCTACCTCACCGGCAGCATCAACGGAGATCCGGAGTCGGTGGCGTCCCTGCACTGGGACGGGGGAGCCCTGCTAGGGGTGCTGCAGTACCGGGGGACCGAACTGCACATCCAGCCCCTGGAGGGGGGCTCCCTGAACTCCGCCGGAGGGCCCGGGGCTCACATCCTACGCCGGAAGAGTCCAGCCAGCGGCCAGGGCCCCATGTGCAACGTCAAGGCTCCCCCAGGGAATCCCAGCCCCAGCCCTCGAAGAGCCAAGGTAGGCAGCCCTAGAGTCTGTCTTGCAGCGTCCTCCCGCCATGCGTGTCCTACTGACCCCCATTCACCCTCTCTCCACCCACTTCCACTGCTGGCCATCCTGCTGCATCCCTGCCTCCTGCCTGCCTCTCCTCCCCCCGCCGGCCTCGTTCCTTGGGAAGGCTCTGCTTTCTCCCTGCCCCAGCCCTGCCCCTGGCCAGGCTGCTGGTCCAAGGGGACCTAAGGAGGGTTCCCAGAGGGGCCAGAGTCTCCAGGCTGGGAGTGCCCGCCCCTCTGCCCACCCCGACCCTGCTTGGCCGCTGCATTCTGCTGGCACCACCTCCTGCCATGAGGCTTTCCTAACCGCCCCCTTGGCCTTGACTCTTTGCTGTGCCCCCAATTTGATTTTCAACCCCCACCACCGGCTAAAGGAGGGAGGTTTGAAGCCCAAGGGATTGGCCTCTGTCTCCTGGTGCTGCCTTCGAAATAGTTGTGGCAAAACTGCAAAGTAGGGCAAAAGTGGACGGGGAGGAGAGGCGTCCCATACCTCCCCCGGCGGTCCCCTTCCCACACTGCGGACCGACTGCAGGGCTGCCTGACACTCCATCCTTCCCTCCCTCACCCTCCCCGCCTCCCCCTTCTTCCCCCTCCCTCTCCAGCTCTAATCCAGACCAGCCGCTCGCCCTCCACACCCGCCACGCTGAGATCTGGCCCCGGCCCTAGCTGCTGACTGAATTGTTACTCCAACCACACAGGGCAGACACGTTGCAGCCCGGCCCTCTAGCTGCACCGCTGCAGGCCCCAGCGCACTCGGGCCTGGGGGACCCCGGAGCCCCTCCCAGAGGCAGTCCCAGCTGCCGTTCACCTCTGGGGCTCCGCAGCAGCCCGGGGACGTGGCATCCCCTTCCCCTCCCCTTCTCAGAACCAACAGCTGAGTCTAGAGTCACCAGAGCGCCCTGGGCCCGGGGTTGGGGGAGGGCCCGGCGACCCGCCAGGAATGCCTGGGCTCTGCCTGGGCTCTGCGGCCCAGGAAGACGGGGAGCGGGAGGGGGCCACGGCCGGGAGGCTACCTCACGCCTACCTCACGCCGCTCCCTCCTTCTTCCAATCCAGCGCTTTGCTTCACTGAGTCGATTTGTGGAGACTCTGGTCGTGGCCGACGACAAGATGGCAGCATTTCATGGCGCAGGCCTGAAGCGCTACCTGCTGACGGTCATGGCCGCGGCAGCCAAGGCCTTCAAGCACCCAAGCATCCGCAACCCCGTCAGCCTGGTGGTGACTCGGCTCGTGATTCTGGGGCCCGGCGAGGAAGGGCCCCAAGTGGGGCCCAGCGCTGCCCAGACCCTGCGCAGTTTCTGCGCCTGGCAGCGAGGACTCAACACCCCTGAGGACTCGGACCCTGACCACTTTGACACGGCCATTCTGTTCACCCGGCAGGTGAGGCCCCGATAGCCCCCTAGGCCAGGCGCTGCCCAACTCCCAGAAGCACCGCCGTGTGCGCTGTGCTAGAAATGGTGCCCTTGGAGTTCTTCAACATGGCACCTGGCCCCAGCCACACTGCCATCCGGGCCCTGACGGCGCACTCAGTGCCCAGGTCCCCACTGACCCAGCCCTCATCCCCGGTGGCCCTGGGGTCTTAGTTCCTCACGCATCTTCTACGATCCCTCTCCACAGGACCTGTGCGGGGTGTCTACTTGTGACACTCTGGGCATGGCCGACGTGGGCACTGTGTGTGACCCGGCTCGGAGCTGTGCTGTCGTGGAGGATGATGGGCTTCAGTCGGCCTTCACTGCTGCTCATGAACTGGGTAACGTGGGAGTAGGGCTGTGGGGCAACCGGGATGGATGAGAGAGGTATCAGGGGACAGGGAGGCCACTAGAAGGCAAATGGGGGTCACAGGGTAGTGCTCCCTCCTCCCCAGGCCTAGGGGTCTTATCCTTCTTTGCTGTGGGCGTTGACATTCAGATTTTTCTATTAAATGAGATAGTGTGTGGACATTTACTGTGAACCCTTTGTGTGTGTGGTGGGGGGAGGGCACAATTTTGAGAGAGATACTATTCCTAAGGGTCAGTGATGGAATTGGGAGGGGGGTTCAGGGTTAGGAATGTTGGCTACAGGAGGAGTGGGGAGGGAGGTGCCCTTAGTGTGTCTGGGGAGCAGCAGAGACAGAGCAGCAGGGGCCTCATATTGAGGAGCCCTAGAGCTCCAGAAGGAGATGGGGGGGCAGGGCAGGACAGGGAATGGATCTGACCGTCCGCTGCTGCGGCGGCCCTGCATGCCCTTCATGGGCTTGAAGCCCCCTGAAGGCACAGAGATGGGACCCGCGGGCCCTAGCAAAGCCTTTGCTCTCACAGGCCACGTCTTCAACATGCTCCATGACAACTCAAAGTCATGTGCTGATCTCAATGGGCCTGGGAGCACCTCCCGCCATGTCATGGCTCCTGTCATGGCTCACGTGGACCCCGAGGAGCCCTGGTCCCCCTGTAGTGCCCACTTCATCACCGAGTTCCTGGACAACGGCTATGGTAAGCAGATGGCGCTGCTGTTCCCTGTGGGGCGCTCCGCTCCCGCCCGTGGTCCTCTCTCCTGCTGCATTCTGCACGGTCCCTGTGGCTCCCTCACCTGGCTTTCCTCTGCAGTGTGGGATGGGGTGCGAGACGCTTCTGCCTTTGTGTGGTTCCTACTCCCTCTCGCACGATCGGCACGGCCAAGGCAGGCCAAGGCAGGCCACTCTCGGTGCAGTAGAGTTCCATCTGACCTTCTAAGGGTCAAAGCTCTTCACCCGAGAAAGGGCTGGCTGTGAAGGAGGTGACTGCCTGTCACCCGGGGTGTGCAAGCCTGGCAGGATGGCTACCGCTGGGCAGACTCGAGAGCTCTGTAGTTGGTTAGAACAGGTAGGAAGACTTAGTACTTGGGATCCCTATCCTGATTCTGTTCTTCAGACGTGTGTAGACACGTGCCTGGAGGATTCTTCACCTCCGCGTGGCTGACCTGTAAGGCATAATAACGGAAACCCCCTCGTGGGCGTTTGCCATGGGTAACCCAGAAGGGTTGGTCAGGCCATTAGCCAGTGCCCATCACATCATAAGTGCCCGAGAAGTTGTATCTGCTACTTGAAGCTTTTCCAGCCCCGGGATTTGGATTCCAGCCCCTGAATCCATCAGGCCCTGGGGAGGCCAGGCTTTCCGCTAGCCATCTAGACTGTTCGCTCAGCCCATTGCTGAGTTCCTACCCCTACCTCCTTCCCAGGGCACTGTCTCTTAGACAAGCCAGAGGCTCCCCTGCATCTGCCTGTGACTTTCCCGGCAAGGACTATGATGCTGATCGCCAGTGCCAGCTGACCTTCGGGCCCGACTCGCGCCATTGTCCGCAGCTGCCGCCGCCCTGTGCTGCCCTCTGGTGCTCTGGCCATCTCAATGGCCATGCCATGTGCCAGACCAAGCATTCGCCCTGGGCCGACGGCACCCCCTGTGGGCCAGCACAGGCCTGCATGGGTGGCCGCTGCCTCCACGTGGACCAGCTGCAGGACTTCAACGTGAGATGCCAGGGCAGGGATGGGGCAGCGGGCCTGGAGGAGTGGGGCCGGCCCTGAGTCCAGGAGAGCGTGGACTTATCCCACCCTCCCATTCTGTGTTTCCGCAGATCCCACAGGCTGGTGGCTGGGGTCCCTGGGGACCGTGGGGCGACTGCTCTCGGAGCTGCGGGGGCGGCGTCCAGTTCTCCTCCCGGGACTGCACAAGGCCCGTCCCACGGAACGGTGGCAAATACTGTGAGGGCCGCCGTACCCGCTTCCGTTCCTGCAACACCCAGGACTGCCCGACTGGTTCAGGTGAGGCATGGGAGGGACAGAAGCCATCGGCGGGTGGTCGAGCAGGAACCATCGTCCCCTTGAGTGTAGAGACTATCCCTGCTGTTGAGGGGAGTGACGTCACCCTTCAGGAACCTTCTCTGGCAGTCTGTGGGAGAGCGAGGTGCCACACTGCCCTGAGGTCTGGGTGGCTCCGGTGGAGGGGCTCGCGTGGGACGTCATGAGGACAGGGCTCTGACTGGCCATTCTTATCCCAACAGCACTGACCTTCCGTGAGGAGCAGTGTGCTGCTTACAACCACCGCACTGACCTCTTCAAGAGCTTCCCGGGGCCCATGGACTGGGTCCCGCGCTACACCGGTGTGGCACCCCGGGACCAATGCAAACTCACCTGCCAGGCCCGGGCCCTGGGCTACTACTATGTGCTGGAGCCGCGGGTGAGGGCCAGATGCTTGGGCACTGTCTGCGCTCGCTCTTTCCCGAAGCCCCCAACTTTCTGATGGCCAAGATCCCTCAAAGCAGCACCGTGGCCGGCACCCCCACAGCCACGTCAGGCCAGCATAGGGTCCACTCACACTCACCATCTGCAGGCATTTGGGAAACGAGCCCCAGACTCTGAATAAGTCACCAGCCAGGCAGCTCTAGCCTATCTCATTTCCCTTAGTTTCTTTTCTCTCCCTTCCCATCCCACGTCTTCCCATCCCTCCCTTCCCATCCCTTCCCTTCCCAGTTCCCACGTCTCTACTTCGTGAGAACGGACGTGGCCTTTTGGGCAAGTCTTTGACCCTTCTGTGGGCTCCTCTATCAATTACAGGGGAGGCCTCGTTCGGCTCATGGAAGGCCAGTCCCTCACTGGACAGGCCTCCTGGAGTCAGTGGTGTCCCCAGACTCCCTGTCTGGGATAGGGCTGAATGTCGAAGGCTTCGGGAAGAACAAGCCCTTAGCCGACTAGCAGACTTTGCGGCCTGACCCTGGGGAGAAATCTTACACGTCGGCCGCCCTCTAGCGTCCATCTGGGTCCTTTCCGTCCAGGTTCAGGGCTGGTGTTGAGAGTCAGACCCACAGTTTCGTCTTGGCTCCTCTGTTTGCCAGCTGTCCCAGCTTTGGGAGAGTCTCTTCATCTTTCTAAACCTCAGTGTTCCGTCTCTAGGAACCTCAAACGGCGGTTGTAAGATTTATATCCTAACTTTTTTTTTAAAAGATTTTATTTATTTATTCATGATAGTCACAGAGAGAGAGAGAGAGAGGCAGAGACACAGGCAGAGGGAGAAGCAGGCTCCATGCAGGGAGCCCGACGTGGGATTCGATCCTGGGTCCCCAGGATCGTGCCCCGGGCCAAAGGCAGGCGCTAAACCGCTGCGCCACCCAGGGATCCCTATATCCTAACTTCTAAAGCACTTAGCACAGCGCCTGATTCAGAGCGAGCGTTCTGAAGATGATGGCCTTTAAAATTTCTACTCTTGTTGGGATTATTACCCCTTAGCGTGGCTGGGGCTCACCCCACACCCCATCTACTTCCCCTCCCACCCAGCCTTTATGACGTCCCCTCCCTGGCAGGCTGCGGGTCACGTCGGGCTCACCAACCCTCCCGACTTAGGAAGAGAAGAACCCTTTGCACTGCTCCTTCTCTTGGCAGGTGGTAGATGGGACTCCCTGTTCCCCGGACAGCTCCTCTGTGTGTGTCCAGGGCCGCTGCATCCATGCTGGCTGCGACCGTGTCATTGGCTCCAAAAAGAAGTTTGACAAGTGCATGGTGTGCGGTGGGGATGGTTCTAGCTGCAGTAAGCAGTCTGGCTCCTTCAGAAAATTCAGGTTCATTCACTATTTATTTCCTCTTCGCTGACCCGGGGGCTACAGACATGGACGTGACACTCTGTCCTCAAAGAGCTCATAGTCTAGTGGGGGAGACGGATGAGTAGTTATAGCACAGTGTCCCACCTGTTCAACAGGTGTCAGCCTGGGGCTGCCGTGAGGGCCTGGGGGGCATCAGGGAAGGCTTCCCCAGGGGGTGACTTGCTCCTGGAGGGAGAGGGGGAGTTGGACCACCCCCAAAGAGGCGGGCTTAGGCCAGCACCGCAGTAAGGGGGCCCCAGCAGGGGGCCCCAGCCGTGAAGGCCTGGAGCCAAGAGGGAGGAGAGTGAGTGCGTTTGCATGGAGCTCACATGTAGGCTGGACACCTCATGCGGGTTTGGGGAGACAACCCTCTGCACACACAAACTCACACTCACAGTCACACACGCAGCTCAGAAAGGCCGGGGGATTCGGGAAGGTGCTGAGCCACCCCTCTTCCACGCAGGTACGGATACAACAATGTGGTCACTATCCCCGCGGGGGCCACGCATATCCTTGTCCGGCAGCAGGGGACCCCCGGGCTCCGGAGCCTCTACCTGGCCCTGAAGCTCCCCGATGGCTCCTACGCCCTCAATGGCGAATACACGCTCATGCCCTCTCCCACGGATGTGGTACTGCCCGGGGCAGTCAGTCTCCGCTACAGTGGGGCCACTGCAGCCTCTGAGACGCTGTCGGGCCACGGGCCGCTGGCCCAGCCCTTAACGCTGCAGGTCCTGGTCGCGGGCAACCCCCAGAATGCGCGCCTGCGGTACAGCTTCTTCGTCCCTCGACCAGCCCCTGCCACAGCCCGTCCCACGCCCCAGGACTGGCTGCAGCGCAAGGCACAGATTCTGGAGATCCTCCGGCGGCGCTCCTGGGCGGGCAGGAAATAACCCCATCATCCCCGCTGCCCTTTTCGGGCACCGGGGCCTCGGACTGAGCAGGGAAAAGGAGGTGGCTCCTGCAGCTGCCTCCACGGACACGCGGACACCGCGGGGAGGGGCGGAGAGGATGAGGCCTGCCCTCATCCCTGCCCTGATGCGCAGGCTGGCCCTGCCCTGGTTTCCTGCCCTGGACGGCAGTGACGGGTGGTGGACGGACGGGGCTGGAGGACAGTACCCTCTCTAAACTGCCCCCTCTGCCCTGCTGGTCACAGGAGGGAGGGGGAAGCCAGAGGGGAGGGCAGTTGTATTTATTTAGTATTTATTCACTTCTATTTAGCACCAGGGAAGGGGATGAGGGCTAGGGTCCTGGGGAAGCTGACTTCCACCCCTCATAACCCTCACCCTGGCTAGGAAATCCAGGGTGGTGGCGATAGGCATAAGTGATCTGTGTGTATGTGAATGTGTGTGTGTGTGTGTGTGTGTGTGTGTGTTTGTGTATGAGGTACATCCTGCCCTGCCTTCCTCTCCCTGAATTCTGTTTTCTAGGAAAGGAAGAGTTGAGGGTTGGATAGGCCTTCAGGGAGTAAGGGATTATCATATTTTTAAAATATATATTGAATTTTGCTATTTATGTGCTCCTTTTGGAGTCAGAGAGATGTGGGTTGCACCCTGGCTCCCCGTCTCTGAACATTAGTTTCCTCGTTTGCCAATAACAATACCTCCCTTGGAAATGTGTTGTGAGGCCTAAATAATGTAAATAAAGAACTAGCACAACACCTGGCACTGGGTCGGTGCCTGGCAGTGACAGCCGCCCTTAGACCTGTCATCACCTCACCACCCGCTCCGCGGCCCCTGGGGTTCCCAGCGCCCCGGAAGGTGGCACTGCCCGCACCAGTGGTGCCTCCCTTGGCCCCAGGCCACATTCCTCCGGTTGGCAGGACAGCGTCAGACAAAGGACGGTCATGTCCCGATCCCCAGAGACCTCCAGGCATCAGAGAAGTCATAAGTACTGGGCTATAAGCACAACTGGTAAGAGAAAGACCATGCAAAGGAACAAGCCTGCACTTAGCCACGAGAGTTCTAGGGGGCTCTGGGGCTGGCGGCGGAGGGAGAGCACTGCATGGGGGAGTCCGGGGGCTGCGTCTGAGCCGGGTTCAGCGTCTTACTATTTGGTGGCCCGGGGAGATGGTGTGTGTCGGGGCCCCACTGGGTCGTCCGGGGGGAACAAATGATCCGATGGAAGGCTGAGCCCCGTGGGAGGTCCCCCTGCTGCCTCCTGGGTGAGGTCCGGCCGCCTGCCGTCAGCCAGTGTAAACACAGCAGCCTTCTTGGAAGACGTGACCTTAGGACGGGATTTAATAAACAGGAGCGGGACCTGGGTTGGTAGGGGACAGCCCAGGGGGCAAGAGGGACGGCGTGGGGGCGGGCAACTCGGGCCACCTGAGGGGAAGGGCAGGGGGTGCTAGCGGGGCTCCAGGCTCCACTACACCTAAGGGGCACGCGGGAAGGCCACAGGGTTGGGACGGGTGGCATGCCAGTGGGTCCTGCCCAAACGGCAACAGTGGGACCTCTGGGGACCAAGAAAGGGCCTGGGTATGGAGGTGGGGGGGAGCCTGGGTGAAGACTCCCTGAGATGGGGGCGCAGCCAGGGGGTGGGGGAGCTGGGGGCTTCACTCGAGTGTCTGTGATCATGGGGGGCGGGGGCGGGGTCGAGGAGCCTGTGGGAGCACTGGGCGCTGCGCCCCCAGGGCTGTACCTCCTGCACTGGGCAGTGCTGCACTCAGTGCCTCCTCCCTGGGCTCAGCAGCAAGGGGAACCTCCCTTCTCTCCAGTGCTCCCCCTGCAGCCCGGGCTCCTGGGCTCGCCACCCCTCCTGTTGGCCAGCCTGGAGGAGGCGAGACAGAGACAGACAAGGCCCAAGGGGTCCCCAACTGTTGCATGGAGCTAGCAAAGCCAGGCCACCGAGAGCGGGTTTACAGATCTCGGGACTGTGAGCTCAGGGGACGGTGAGCCGAGGCCCTGCGCCTTGTGCCAGGTACACACAGTGAAGACGCTGCACCCCCGCAAAGAGAAGCAACGAGAGATACAAAGAACCGCATGATAAGGGCCAGATCTGTGGGAGGCCAAGGCCAGGCTTCATGGCCAGGAGGGTAAGGGAGGTGTGAGTCTCAGGATCTCAAGTCCAGATCCCGGGGTCCTGGGATCCAACACCACGTCGGGGCCCCTGCTAGCAGGGAGTCTCCTTCTCCCTCTCCCTCTGCTCCTCCCCCTGCTCGTTCTCTCTTTCTCTATAAAATGAAAAAATAAAGTCTTAAAAAAAAAAGAAGTAGTTTTTCCCAGAAAGGGATTGAGCTCAGCAGCCACGTCTGTGATTGGGGGTGTGTGTGTGCACGGAGGCATACAGTGAGGGGAGGACAGAGGGCCAGCTCCTCAAAGCGAAGTGATGGGCATCACGCCTTCAATCCCAGGCAAGGCCCGACCCCTTTCTGGAATGCTCTCCCTCATACCACCCTTCCTGTACCCGGGCTATAGACTCGGCCTAATGTCCTGAACTCAGGAGTCCAGCCAGCGCTTGTTGGGATGGGAGGAGTTCATACCTCCCTGCAAGAGCCAATATTAGCGCTGTGTCTCTCCCCAGTTGGCCTACTCACGGGCCTGTGCTGGGGTCTGGGCGAGCAATCGGAGGAGAAACAGGCCTAACAGGAAAGAAGTAGGCACCCAGACAGCTCAAGTATCTGGTCTTAGAGGGAAAAGGGAAAAATGATGAGGAAGAAAAACCAGTCAGGGACTGCCAGGGGGGTGGGGGGGCAGTGAGCGCCCTATCCTTGGGGAAGCTCCAGCAGACACCCATTTTATTGGATGGTAAGTGTCGTGCATGGGGGCTGGGTGTAGGGAGGTAGGACAATAACTGAACAGAGCCAATTTCTTTAAGCCCTTTCTTCTCCTCACTCACATTCTCTGCCTCCGTGGTGAGCACAGAGGAAATCTGGGCAATTGTCCAACCTCTATTTTTGCGGTGGGGATGAGAAAGCCAGGTTTCTGGGGTGAGCTACTCTTGTTTACTCCTACTCCAACCCGAGCCCCAGTTCTTTAACCTCTATGTAGTATTACTGTATTTAGTCTCTAAAATATCAGATGGACGGTAAGGGAGAAATACCAGCATCTCATTGGTCGGGGGGGGGGGGAGAGAATGGAATTTTGGGGGGGGGGGAAGAGAATGGAATTCAATGTATTATTTTATTGGCTGAGAGAATACTCTTGAACCAACTGAATACTTCCCCATTGACTGTTGCCAGAGGGGAGGCCAAAACACAGGCAGCAAGACCTAACCAGCTGACCTCTGAGGGAAACCACCAGTTCTAAAACTGCTCTGAGGAAGGCTGAGAGGAACAGAGTGGGGATGGGGTTGTACCATCAATCCCCACCAATTTCCCCAGAAAGGACCTTCTATAGGGACAGACCCAGATTACTTAAGTTGTCTTAGGAAGGAAACAGAGGAGAGGAAGTACGTTTAAGGCATCCCTCGCAGTCTTTGGGAAACCAGCCACAGGCCATATGAACCCAGTAATACACAAGTACAGAAACAGTGACACACTCGGACATGCACCCGTCCAACCTCACAAAGATACACCAGCACATTCTCTTGATAATGCAGATGCATATAAGCATTGAGAAGCTGGAAATATGAGTTTCTTGGCCTGGAAATGAGTCGGAAGAAAATATATAAATTGACCTAGTTTCCCATGGAGGATTGACTATTTATTGCATTTGTTCAATAAATAAAGCCTTTGAGTTATACACTGGGATCAAATCATGCTCTCACAATGTAGAGAAAGGACACAGATTTTTGGAGTCAAACTGAATCTAAGCTTTGCTATTTACATGTAATGATGTGATCTTAAATTACTTGGTTGTTGTGAGCCTCAGTTTCTTTATCTGTAAAAGGGGCACTTTTAAATTTTTTATTTTTTTAAAGATTTTATTTATTTATTCATGAGGGACACAGAGAGAGAGAGGCAGAGACACAGGCAGAGGGAGAAGCAGGCTCCATGTAGGGAGCCACCCTGATGTGGGACTCAATCCCGGGACTCCAGGATCACACCCTGGGCCAAAGGCAGGAGCTAAACCGCTGAGCCACACAGGGATTCTCCCCGCCCCCCTTTTTAAAATATTTTATTTATTTATTCATGAAAGACACACAGAGAGAGAAAGAGAGAGAGAGGCAGAGACATGGGCAGAGGGAGAAGCAGGCCCCATGCAGGGAGCCTGATGCAGGGACTCGATCCTGGGACTCCAAGATCACACTCTGGGCCAAAGGCAGATGCTCAACCGCTGAGCCACCTAGACGTCCCATGTAAAATGGGTATTACTACTACCTGCCTTATGGAGAGGTTGTCAGAATTTAAGTAAGTGCTTGACTCCGTGTGCGGCTTCTAAGTGTCAGTACATGCAGCTTCTCTTCCCCTTAAATCTCTTCCTTGCCTGTCCCCCTTTACCATCCTTCATTAGCATGAGAAAGTAATTATACGAGGGAACTGTCTGGGTCAGATCTAAGATGAGCTATTTTGCAGAAGTTGTGCTAAGAGTTCTGGGTTACGTTCAAGGTATGATAAAAGGGAAGACGTGGTCCCCATCCTCAGAGTTCACAGTCTGGTGGCTGAGACAGTAAGGTGAGACCAGAATGCCAGACCAGTGTGACAGATGCCGTGGTAGATGAGGGGCACCTAGCACGGAATACAGGGTCACAGAAATATTCTTGGAGGAAGTGTCTGCCTCCTTTTCCAGAAATAGACTGTAAGGCTGCAAGGCCCCCCGAGGAGAGTAGGATGGTGATGGAGGAAGAGAGAATTTCTGCTTGCTGGGTCAGCTCCAGGGCTCTTCTCTGTTATGCAAAACTGAAGAGAAGTAAAGTGAACAGACTTGAAGCTGGAGGATAATACTGTAAGAAGCCAAGCAGGGTGGATGGAGAAGCTTCCATCTCAATGGACAATGCTGAATGGAAGAGAGGATTTTAAAGACTGGGCTGTGCATTAAATGTGCTCCTGCTCCATTTTCTCTCCCTCCCTGGGCCTCGACCTCTGATGTTTCCTTGAGAAACTAAATAGAGATTTAAATTATTCTTTTTTTTTTAAGGTTTTATTTATTTATTTGACACAGAGAGAGAGAGAGAGAGAGAGAGAGAGAGAGAGAGCACAGCAGGGGGAGCATCAAACAGAGGGAGAGAGAGAAGCAGGCTCCCTGCTCAGCAGGGCCCAAGGCTGAGCCACCCGGTTGTCCCCAGATTTGATAAGTGTTGGTACCTCCTGGGGGGCTCAGGTTGTGACCCCAGGGTCCTGGGATCGAGTCCCGCGTCGGGCTCCCTGCATGGAGCCGGCTTCTCCCTCTGCCTGTGTCTCTGACTCTCTCTCTCTCTCTCTGTGTTTCTCACAAATAAATAAAATCTTTTTAAAAAATGGTAAGGAAGCCTTTTTTTTTTCTTAGGACTACTGTAATACATGTGAAGACCATCCCAACTGGAGAGAGGCTGGGCTCGACTCTGAATCCAGCTAGGACGAGGGGACAGATACTTGCAGCCAGAGGAGGAATGAGGGGGTCGGTGGAGGGAAAGTTAATCAGGGATGAGGAGATTCTGGCCAACTGGACTTGCCAGGCTCCTGGCTGAAAGTGGCTAGTCGTCCAAGGAAGAGGCTTATTCAAAAAGAAGCCTCCAAAAAAAAAAAAAAAAAAAAAAAAAGAAAAAGAAAAAAAGAAAAAAAAAAAAAAAAGAAAAGAAGCCTCCGAAGAGGCTGTCTAAAGTTTGGCCAAGAACAGGGTTTTTGTCGCTACCCAAGTAAAAATGGACACATGTTACAGAGTTTATTTAACTCACATGGGAAGTGGCAGATGTGTGTTCTAAGGAAAAGATTCACGGCTGCCGTCAGTTTCAAAGGGGGAAAAAACACTTTATTGATATTATAAAAATCTAATAGAAGAAAAGGAAAATCTGAGCAGAGGTGAGGGCAATTGTAAGCAGTAAAGGAAAATAAGAGTTACCTCGAACTGGGGACTTGGAAGATCCAACCTCTAGCCAGGGCGAGGTGCGGGGAGTCCCGTGGCGGGACCAGGCAGGCGGCGACTGAGAGGCCTGGGCAGTGTCCTCCCCTCAGGTGGGACTTCCAGCTGACTGTCCCCCTTAGGGCCGAATTTACAGGGCAAATGATGGAATCTGAAGTTAAACATTTGTTGGAAAAAAAAAAAAAAACATTTGTTGGCCTACGTGCAGTTTGGAGCGAGCTGCGTTTCCGTGTTATCCTGTCCTTACAGTCGAGGGGCCTGGGCCAGGTGTGTTTGCCTTCCCTCCCAGATTCCTTTCCAGGGGAGTCGGAGGGGAAGCAAGGCAACGTTCTAGCTCTTGGCGTCCAG